AGGAAGAGATACAAGAAGGGGGCGTTGTCCCCTCTATAGTAGGTGTTATGATATAGAAAGTATCACTGAAATATAATGTGAGAATCAACGTCGCTGTTGCAATGAAGGCACGATGTTACATAGGGGTTGGCGTGCTAGGGCGATAACCTCGGAACGAAGGCAGGTTCGGCAAGGTGGCGACAGTGCCGGACGCGACGCGGGAAAGGATTGGACCGACAAATGAGGCCGAACGTGACGAGTCGAGGATTTCGGGTGTACGCGCTAACGTACGATTCTGTAAGGAATGGAAATTCCTTACTCTACCCCCCCCCCCCCTCCTAAACGAGGCCGTGGGCATCGAAAACATTCCGGCGCTGATAATACGCTGTTAGAATCGGGTGTGATTCGATATCAGCAAGGTGCACCTAGCTCTCATCCTCAGACATCCGATCGGGCCATCTGACGAAAAAATCTACCATCCGACAGTTCTGCTGTGTTGTGACGCGATGGCCGAGAATCTTCAGAGGCTCGGACGTCGGTTCTTGCAGGGGCGTCAGCTGCAAGACGATGCGTTGACGTGCCAAATCTGACGAACTGGGGACGTAGGGTCGTAGGAGGCTGATGTGGAAAGACGGGTGGTGACACCAATCAGCCGGGAGTCGAAGGTGAGCTGTGACAGGTGTCACCATAGTGGTCACTTGAAAAGGGCCACAGAAGCGGGGTCAGAGTTTTCTCGGGATCGGCAGGCGCAAGTTGCGAGTGTCGAGTAGTACGAAGTCCCCCACTTTGTAGGTGACGTCACCTCGGTGACAATCGGCTTGTCGGGTTGCGACCAGGTTGGCTTTCCGGACTGCCTCAGCTGCTTTGTCTCGGGCTGCGATGATGTCTTTGGCAAATCGCTCGGACTGGGGCACGGGTGTCTTGATGTTTGGTGTAGAGGGTACCACGGGGTCCTATCCGCGATTTAGGAAAAATGGGGATTGATGGGTTGTTGCGGAAGGCGCGTTATTATACGCAAATTCCAGCAGCGGAAGGGATTTCTCCCATGTCTGTGGGTCAGCACAAGTAGTCCGAATGAGTTGCTGCATAGTTTGGTTGACTTGTTCAGTCTGCCCGTCGGTCTTTGGGTGGTAGGCGGAGGAAAACTGTAGTTTGGTGCCGAATTGGTCCCACAGGTGGCGCCAAAGATTCAATGTGAATTTCGGGTCTCGTTCTAAAATAATGGTGGTGGGCAGTCCGTGCAGTCTGATGACGTTGGCGATGAACAGTTGGGCTGTTTGCTCAACTGTAATTTTCTGTTGGCAGGCGATGAAGTGCACCATTTTCGTGAGTCGGTCAACGACCACGAGGATGGCATCATTTCCGCTGGGACAGGTTGGCAGTCCTGTCTCTCGGGCGAATACAACGGCTGTAGGAGTCTGGCTGCTCGCTGATGAGATAATTTCATTATCTGGCAGGCGGTGCAGGAGGACACGTACTTGCGCACGTCGTCGACCATGTTCGGCCACTAATAATTGCGTTGCAACGTCTTCATGGTTTTGTCGACTTTGAAATGCCCGGAGGTAGGATTGTCATGGGATTCTTGGATTCAGAGGGTATGAAGTAAATCGTAGCCGGGAACCCATATGCAGGAAGTGTCGGCTTAGCGTATTAGCCCGGATATAAGACCCATGGGTGCTATCACATACCGTTGAGAAATAATCCAAATGGACCTAAAGCCACAGGCAAAAAATCGGGTTACCACAAGATAAGCGCCTAATAGAAGACCCATGGTCTTCTATTACTAGGGGGTCTTATATCAGGGATTTTACGGTATTGAAGTAGTGACTGGTAGCTGTAGTATGCTATTGGTGAATGGCGGAGCGGAAAAATGAGTCGATTTTGTAGCCGTTGGTAAATAGTCTGGTAAGAAGTGGGCTGGTCTGGGCGACTAGTATGGCGGCTGTATGGGCAGTGGGTCAGGTCAGGGCATCGGCGATGTTGTTGGCGCCCTGTTTGTAGGTGATGGTGTAGTGGAAAATTGACTCGAGGAAATCGAGCCATCGGATCTGTCGTGGGTTGAGATTCGGCTGGGCTCGCAGGTACTCTAGGGAGTTGTGGTCAGTTCGCACAGTGACGTCAACGCCTATTAGGTCGCACCGCCAGGTCTTGAACGCGTGGACGATCGCCAACATTTCCTGCCTGGTTGGCGAGTCGATGTAGTGTCGGGAGATTTTCGAGGGGTTGTTTGGGGTATTCGTGTTTGAGAGCACATCCACCCGAGTTGAAATTGTTTGAGCTACATTTTCATGCCTTTTTGTATTTTCCTATAGAGCCCTTTTAAACGCATTGTGCCATAGAAAAAAAAATTGGAATAAACGCACCCCCCATTTTGAGACTATAATCCCTAAACGCACCTAGGCGCGTATATCCGGGGGAATACGGTATGAGTCCTAATTCACGAGGAATTTTTTGGGACCAACGCTGAAAAATCCGAGAAAAACTTAGGGGGAATCCTGTTAAGAATTGAGTGAATTAGATCTAGCTAGGAGTGGGAGGAGCCATGGAAATGGCGAGAGGTTTAGCTAGGGGGCGAGCAGTTGAGGAGAGAAAAGAGAATCAAAATAGAAGAGTAAGGGATACAAGGAGGGGTGTGTTAAAATTATATAAGTTATAATTTAATATAGGCTTGGTAGGTTGTTACTGAATCTTTCTGTAGAGGGTACAAACCCCTTCTTGTACTCCTCTCTCTTCCTAATCAAACACCTTTCTTCTCGACATTCTCTCCCTTCCTAGATCCGTTTTCCTCACGCCATTCCATGGCGGCCTTCTTCCTAGTATCCTAGCCAACCTAGCCTCCTTAGTTTAAGAACCTTGAGTCCTAAGTTTCTAAGATGGTATCAGAGCCGGTTGGTCCACCGGACCCTCTCCCTACGTTCCCGTTGCGTACTCCTACTGCATTCGCAGCCTTCGCGGTTTTCTGCCTGCCTGCCGTCGCGGCACTAAGTTGTCGCGACGGCCCCTTGTTGCATGCCGTCGCGGCACTAAGTTGTCGCGTCGGCCCCTTGTTGCCTGCCGTCGCGGCGCCAGGATGTCGCGACGGCCCCTTGTTGCCTGCCGTCGCGGCACCAAGATGTCGCGACGGTCCCTCGTTGCCTACCGTCGCGGTGCCAAGGTGTCGCGACGGTCCCTTGGTGCACCCGTCGCCCGTCCGCCTCGCCGCTGCGACATTGACGGTGCGCTGTGGCGGCGTCTGCGGCAGCCGACGGCATCGTCGGGCTGCGGCCGGCCGAGCGACGTCTGTGGCGTCGCCGGGCCTGCCGCCCGCTCGCCACAGACGGGCGTCCCTCAGGACGACGTCCTCCCGCCAGTAAGCGCCGCGCCATTTATGGCGCGTCGCTGAAGACTCGCCTCGCCCCGCCCCCTCCCCTCCCCCCCCCACCTGCACCTGCTTCCCCTGCATCCCCCCCTTTCTTGCTGCAGCCGATGACTGCCATGTGAGGGACCTCTCCACCGCCGAGGAGACAGGACATGCCGCCGAGAGGGCGGGGGCCGCCGCACCAGCCTCTGTCGTTCGAGCCGCCGGCGCCGCCGCTGTTGCCGCAGGCCTGGAGCCGCCGCACACCGCCGCCGCCGCCGCCGTCGTCACTGTCGCTGCTGCCGCCATTGCCGTCTCAAGGGGCCGTGAGACCTACCCTCTTCCGGAGTCGTTGCGGCTCCTGCTGGGAATGGGGGTGCTGGGCTAGGGGGTGTGGGTGTGGGTGTGGGTGTGGGGGTGTGCGTGGGCTTGACACTACCAAGCCTAGGGGGTGTGTTAAAATTATATAAGTTATAATTTAATATAGGCTTGGTAGGTTGTTACTGAATCTTTCTGTAGAGGGTACAAACCCCTTCTTGTACTCCTCTCTCTTCCTAATCAAACACCTTTCTTCTCGACATTCTCTCCCTTCCTAGATCAGTTTTCCTCACGCCATTCCATGGCGGCCTTCTTCCTAGTATCCTAGCCAACCTAGCCTCCTTAGTTTAAGAACCTTGAGTCCTAAGTTTCTAAGAGGGTGTTGTACCCTCTACAGTAAAGTTCAGTAAGACTACCAAACCTACAATTATATAGTAACATATAAAATTTAACACACCCCCTAGGCTTGGTAGACACAAGCCCACACACACCCGCACCCCCTGACCTAGCACCCCTATTCCAGCCACAGTGACAGCGACACTAGCTAGGTCGACCCCTCGGCGCGCGGGGCGGCGACATCGACCGCAGAGGCTGCGTCGGCGACGGCGACAGCGGCGGCGGCGTGCGGCTGCGTGGCCCCGACGCAAGCGGCGGCTTCGACAACGGCGGCGGCGGCGGCGGCGCCCACACCTCTCGGTGACGTGGCCAGGCCCCGCGACGGTGGGACGGCCGGCGGGAGTCAGCCGTCGTCTGTGGAAAGGAAGAGGACACGGGAAGGAGGGGGGTGTCACAGGCTGGCATACGGGCGGCCGGTCAAGCGGCGCCACAGGCATCGCGCGGCCGGCTGCAGCCCGACGACGCCGTTACAGAGCGGCGTCGACGCCGCGGCAGGACGTCGACGCTGCGATGGCAGCACGACGGCCCGACACCACGGCAGCGCGTCGGGACGGCAGCGGCACGACGCGGCCAGCGGCATCACGACGCCGCCATTGCAGCACAACGCGGCCGCCATGGCCGCGCATGCGAACGAGGGCGAGGAGTACGCGGCGGAAGCGTGAGGAGGTGGTCCAGCAGGGAGGGCCTTCTGCTCTGATACCATGTTAAGAACTGAGTGAATTAGATCTAGCTAGGAGTAGGAGGAGCCATGGAAATGGCGAGAGGTTAAGCTAGGGGGTGAGAAGTTGAGGAGAGAAAAGAGAATCAGAATAGAAGAGAGGGATACAAGGAGGGGTGTTAAACCTTCTACAGTAAAGTTCAGTAAGACTACCAAACCTACAATTATATACTAACATATATAATTTAACAAATCCTCCTAAGCGATCAAGGCTCCTACAAACCAGGGGCCTGATCTGGATGTTATAAAACAGCAGGATCTACATGGGATCCAGTAACATTAAATTCTATTTTGGTGTAGATCCTACTTTGTAGGAATACGCCCTAAGCCATTCCTCAAAAGGAGCAACTGATATCGGATTAATAAGCTACTGTTCACCCTTGCTACAACGATATAGCATGCATTCTGATAAGTCATTCCTCACATGCTGCTCAGCAGTACTGTCTCTGTTGCAATTTTTTTGCGCAATGGCCAGCAGGCCTATAGCATCAGTTAATACCAGCTGCAACACCAGCAGCAGGCACAGCAGCAGCAGAAGCAGCCGCCATGGCTTCAGCCTTAGCAGCAGCCTCAGCTGCCTCCTTAGCAAGTCTCACCCTCCACTTGTTGAGCTGAAACACCCTCCAGAACCCCCCATCCGCATTCCGCTCAATGCGCTCAAACTCAAACGACCCCTTGGCGCGGCGAGACGACACGGCCAGCCGTTTGGACTCCTCCGTGGGATGCAGCTCCACAGCCTCAAGCACCGGTGCACCACCCACAGACCGCAAACCCCCCACTCCCTCCTCTCCTTCTCCCCCTTCTCCTCTCCTCTCCCCATCACCCACGCGGCCCTTGGCAACGAGGCGGATGCTTCTGCCGTTGACGGCGTCGCACACAATCCCGATGGGCGCGCGCGAGTCCGGGTCGAACTGGATGATCTGGTTCGCGTGTACTGCCAGCACTGTCGCGCCCATCTGCAGCCACCGCACTGTACCGCTTGCACTGCTAATGCTGCTGCTGCTGCAGCTGCTGCTGGAGGAATTGGTGTTGCGGCGCTTGGCAGGAGAGGGCAGAGCTACCCCTCCTGCCGCTGCTGCTGCTCCTGCTGCTGCCGCCGCTGCAGCACCAGCACCATCACCATCTGCTGCACCTGTCCCTGCTGCTTCCCCTGCTCCTCCTGCTGCTGCCCCTGCTGCTGCTGCTGCGGCTCCATTCGCCCTACCCCATCCCCCCACCCCCCCTCTAGCGAAGGGCGGGAACTGGTCCTGGTCTCTCGCCGCCAGATCCGCCGGCATAACCGGGCTGAACGCTCCGCCCGCCGCGCACGCGCTCATGCCGCTGAGCGTGGAGCACCACAGGCGCTGCGGGGGAATCCCGCGCGCCTCGTTCTCGTACACGTGGCGCACGTCCGTGCGCACCTCCTCCGCCGAGTGGTCCAGCGTCAGCAAGTGGTAACCCGTTTTCGTCGCGCGTAACACCCGCGAGTGCCGCCGGCCGTCGCGGTGGCAGCCGCCCATAACGCCGGTTTGGACAAAGAGGCAGGAGGAGACGCGGGAAAGGGACCCTTCATAGTCGTGCGAGAGGTGAAAATGGCCAGAGAACCACAGCTTAATGCACGGGTGGGAGCGGACTAGGTCTAGGAACTTGCGTGACGTGGCGGGACAGGAGTGGTTGAGCCACGCGCAGCGATTGCGCACGTGCACTTCTTGCAGGCTCGTCAGCCCGCACCCCATTGGCGGAGCGTGCGTGAACACAAACACGGGCCGGCCCTTCCCTTCCGCTTCCACCGCTGCCAATTGCGCCGTCATCCACGCTACCTGCTCCTCGTCCACAAACACCTCGTGGCAGCTATCCTGCGAGTCTCTAAACCGCACGGTCGATAATCCCAGGCAAACCCCGGCGTCGCCCAGATCGCGCCGCCAGTAGTGCTCGTGCCCGAACGCCTCCTTCCACGCGAGTAAGTTGCGCTCGTCGGACTCGAACTCGGCACCTTCCAGGTCGTGGTTACCAGTAACAGACAAGCGCGGGAAGCGGAAGGAGTCGAGGAAAGAGACGGCGGAGCGGAAGCACTCCGCGGATCCGGGCTTGTTGCTGTACCCGCCCACATCCCCCAGTTGAACCAGCAGCGCCGGGGGGATCGCTGGAGGGGCATCGCTCTCGCGCTCGCTACTGCTACCACTACTAGTACCACTACCACTACCACTACCACTAGTACTACCTTTGATTTCCCCGTCAATTATATTGCCAGCTTCTCCGCTCCTCGCGTCCTTCCTGTCGTCGGCTGTGCTATCGGAGTCGCCAGTAACGGGGATCTCCGAACGGCCAGCGACCAGCCGTACGATCTGATCGCGCGCCTCGTGGAACAGGCTCATCTGGCCCGGCTCCAGATGCAGATCGCCCATCACGACGATCGTCACCGCGTCGTCGCCGCCGCCGCCTCCAGCCGCCGCCATTGGCTGGCCGGCGGTTGCGGGCGACACATCAGCCGCACCTGGCCACCAGCGAGAGGAGAGCCCCATGGAGAGACCCGTCGGGGGCTCCGCGGCTGGGGGAGTGGGGAAGCCGCCGCCAGCTGCGGCTGCGGATACGGGTGTGCTGGATGCGAGTGCCGCGAGTGGCTGGGGGGCGTTGGCTGGTAGGTGAGAATTCCCGTCGGGAACGGATTGGCCTCCGATTCCCATGGCGCCGCCCAGCTTTTGCTGTCTGATGCTTTTAGCTGTGTCGAAAGCAGCAACGGGAGTACCTGTAACGGAATCTGCGACAGATACGCAGCGGCGAAGAGCGAAGGCGTGGCGCCGCGCAGACAGCACTGTATGCCGACGGGTCGAGTGGAGAAGCCCGGCAGACGACGGCAGTGGCAGACCGAGGCGGGTTTGCGGACCAACCGCAGCAGCAGAAGTCACAGCAGCTGTAACCATGGTTAGGGACAACGAGTAGGGAACTCCGTTGGTTGAGCTGAGGTGGAGAAAAGAAGCTTGTCCAGGTCGACAGGGACAACGCAAGCTGGTGTGAGGAGGAGATGTGCTGGTGTGCGCGTGATTGCCATGAGGAACAACCACGCTGCACTACATTCAGCAATATCGACGAAGTTCAGGATGCGGTTGCAGAGGCATCACTGTCACGACCACCGTCATCTCCAGGTTATAAACAATTGCAATTGTAAGTAGATACTTACAGCATCGGTATATACTTCTGAACGGGCAGAGGCCGTCCAAAGGCTGGGCGATCAATAAAACCCCGATCAGCTCAGTCGATAGGATACCCTGAAACAAAAGGGTAACAGGTGCAAATTCCCACGGAAGCGGGGGCTGCGGGGTGTTTCGTGGGCGAGGAGGCATCATATCTGATTGGTCAGAACACACAGCTTTCCCAAGTCGCCACCTTGATCTGGATCCTGACGAGACGACCTTTGGTTGCTTCGGCCAAATGAACGGTCAGCTGGTGTGATGACGTGGTAAGACCTCTGGCTCTGCCTTCCTTTACGCACACAATCAGCACCTCGCTTTCGAGCCACTCATTGGAAGATGTTACAGGTGGCACACAGTAATTGATTGGATTTCCTGAATGAGCATCAGTTTGCCACGATGGCCGTTTGAGACTAAGGGAATAACGCGTCATCGCTGCCCCGTTTTCCGTGTTTAAGCGTGATACCACGTATCAAAAGCATCTTCTCAAAAGACCGTTGACATTATTACATTGAACTAAACAAACTATTTTAGAACATAATTCTGTTGAACTAAATACGCTAGGTAGGAAGAGAAGACGCAATGAATGGCGAGAGGTTTTAGGCTAGGAGGAAGTTATCGAGAGAAAATAAAGTGAGATTAGAAGTGGGAGGGATACAAGGAGGGAGTTGTACCCTCTACAGTAGGTTTCAGTAATGCATACCAAGCCTACAATTATATATAACAATATAATTTAACACACCCCCTAGGCTTGGTAGCGGCAAGCCCATCCCATACGAAACACCCTCAAAACCATGGCACCCCAATGTGCCGCAGCTGGTGAGTCTTCTACCCTTCGTGCGAAGTGGTGACAGCCCTGGCGGATGGCAGCAACGGCGTCAGCGGCGGCGGTGATAACAGCGACGGCTACGGCGAGGCTCGCGGCACTCGTCGACGTGGCACGACCTGGGGACGACCGGGCTTTGAGGCAGCAGCTCCCTCTGGAGGAGAGGAAGACATGGGGGGGGGAATGGGGTGTGGTCTAGCAACACGCCCGTGGCTGGCGTTGGCCTGGCGTGCGGGCGTCAGGGCTGGCGCCGCCTAAAACGAAGCGCGGCCCGCTGCTGCACGACGACGCTGCCACGGCAGCATGACGACGCCGCCATAGCGCGGCGTCGATACCACGGCGACACATCGACACTGCCACGGCAGCATGAAGACGTCGCCACGGCGTGGCGGCGACGCTATGTCAGCGCGTCGGGGCTGCGACAGCAGTACGACGGAGCCGTTATAGCAGCTCAGCATGGCCACCACTGCGGCATGAAAATGACGAGAGAAGAGCGATTACGCAGCGGAAGCGTGGGGAGCAGTCCCGTAAGGGGGAACCTGCTTTGATACCATGTTGAACTAAATACGATAGGTAGGAAGTGAAGACGCCAAGAATGGCGAGAGGTTTTAGGCTAAGAAGAAGTTATCGAGAGAAAAGAGAGTGAGATTAGAAGAGAGAGGGATGCAAGGAGGGAGTTGTACCCTCTTACATTAGGTTTCAGTAATGCCTATCAAGCCTACAATTATATATAATCAATATAATTTAACAAATTCGTATCGCATTTTTACTCAACTATTTATCGTATATTGCTTCACAAAACAGGAAATGATTCGTTGTGATAAGCACACCTACCCCACTTGGAGGGTCAGCTAGCCTATTCAAATACTGAAAAAGGAATGTTTTTCTCTATCTTATCCTATCCACTTGCTGGATGCATAATATGCAGCAACTCTGTGGAGGAAAACTAAGAATAAGACTCATTAGGGGGTGTAACGCAACCCCCCTCAGATGAACAAGACTGGCCTTCATTCGTCCACTTGCTAAGTGAAGTCTTGTGAAAGTCGATCCCCAGAAACTGTGCCTTCCCGCACCGCAAGAAATAGGCAGGAGAAAACTGCTTACTGGTGCCGTACATCTACCACGTCAGCCTACAGCAAGCCAACTGACGGTATGGTGGTGGCACGGCAGCCAACCAACCGACTGGCGAAAATACAGCGCTGTAGGGCACTACAAGTAACAACTTCATCTTTCAGTTCTATGCATTTTTTGGGCACTTCGGTTCCTAGTGGAAAGTGTATCGGAATTCTGTTCAGGGCGGGTCCATTTTTTTTGCACCAGATTGATATCTCGAAAGTAACCCGCTTTTAGGTTATCACATGACTTTTTGAAGGGCACTTGACCGAACCTCAAGAGAGATTGGAGTACAGTACGATTCGGGAGACGGAAGGTGGACGATTCGGGGGCCTGGGGACACCTGTGGCACTGGGGGGTTTCGCCGAGAACAAGGCGGCCTCGCGGGGGATTTCCCGAACTGAGACTGTTTTTCGCCGAGCGAAACATTTAGTTCGCAGGTAGTGACATTTGGTAACTACGATTCTGGGCGACTTAGACGAAAGGTGTTTCGCGTCCCACTCTGTCTTCGTTTGCCAGCGGGGACGTGGTTATCGTTTCAAAGTTCGTAAATTTGAGTCCAAAACCACCCATTGAACAGTATGGACCCGTCCTTGAGGGAAAGAAAACTTGCTTCAAAACCAACACAAGCAGTGTCCACATCATCACGATATCCGAACCACATTAATGCGATTCGAACGTTCGCCTCCACCCTGTGACTCTGCGACACTTTCAGAGGATGGTCGTCGGCCGCCATGGCCCCCTGTGGAAGTGAGCGACGAACAAGACTAACCGCGCGACCTCCTCCAACAAGAGTGGCTCGTGTCGTGTCGTGTGAACCAGCATTGCTGGCAGAAGTCAGTGTCGCATCGCAAGACTCCCCCTACACGCGAACAGCTGGCCCCCTCCAAGTTCCTGGCCGCTCCTCGTTCTCAAGATAAAAGGTGCTTCTAGTAGTCCGTTCCGTGTTCCGGGTTCGAGCAACACCTTGTCCGGTACTTCTTATACTATTCCCCACCATTGTCAAGAAGTGTTTTGATATCTACGAGCGACACGTAGGGCAGCGGACCATATCAACTTCAGTCGTCGTAGCGCCCGCCTTCTGCTAACCCGTATATCTGGTTTCTTCGTTTCTAGTAGAGACTACTGGTAGTAACGCATAGCCGCCAGTTTCGACTTGTTCGTTCAGTCTACGAACGCCGTTCGCACTCGCAAAACGTTAACCAGTTATCCATCTGAATAGTGGTAATTAATAGAGTCTAACAGCCCCTTTCAGCTCGCTCACCATGCTCAAAGTCGGCCTATCCAAGCTCTCCCTACCCTGGAGCAGCAGCAGCACCACACCAAAAGCCGCCGCCAATCACGGCGACAAACGTGGTGACAGTGCAGCGGCAGCAGACAGCAAAGCAGCTAGTACTACGAGTACAGACTCCGCTCCTAAGGACCCTCCTCCCGCCGCAACACCCCGCGCCCAATTAGAGCCCAGTGCCTCCCGCCGCTACTACTCCCACGGCGCCAGTGGCGGCGGCGGGGGCGGCGGTCGGAGTGGTGGTACCGCAAACGGCGGCGCGTCGCATCCAACGGGGACAACCGGGCAGTTTTCCGATTCCGACGAGGCGCGAGATGCCATGTCAACTGCCGCCGGAAAGGGAGCGAACCACCACCAGCGGCAATCTAGTAATACGAGTATCGGTACAGCGAGGACTCCGCGCGGGGGAAGCAAACACTCCGCTGCGGACTTCGCGGACTTTACCGCCGCTGGCGGCGCAGGCGGCCGTGCGCTTCCTGGTTCCGGCGTCGGTGCTGGTACTAGCGGTGCGTCTGCTCCTAAAGGCGGCGGCGGTGGCGGCGGTGGCGGCAGCGGGTTCGGGCTGCTGGTGAATCAGCGGACGGCACGCGTGGTCTCCGCGGATGAGGACGCGTGCTGGGCGGTGGGGATGGCACGGGAGGAGCTGGCGCGCGCAACGCTGTTCGACCTGGCGGAGAAGCTCAACGCGGACGAGTGGGCGCGCGCGGTCGAAGGCATGAGCGCAAAGGACAGGCCGCGGGTCATCATCCGCTTCCGCCTGGTTCAGTCTAGTAACCACCGCGGCGGCGGAGGCGGAGGCGGCGGTGCTCTCTCCGGTCGCCGCGTGGACTGCGAGTTACAGGAGCTCGTTCCTAGCGCCAAGGCCGTGCGCGTTCACATTGCGCCGATCCCCCCGAACTCCCCTGGTGGCGGAGGTGGCGGAGGAGGTGGCGGGGAGAGGGCCGTTGCGCCGACCACTCCGCGCGCGGCCCTGTCGCACTCGAGCACGCTGTCGCGCGCGCAGACGATGTCGTCGCAGCAGCAGTCGCCGCACGCGCCGTCGCTGTCGCACTCGCACACGCTCGCCCACTCGCCCTCTAACGCCAGCGCGACCGCCGCCGCGATGCTCGGCGGCAAGCATGGCGCCCCACGCGTCAGCTTCGCAGTGGATCACGGCGGGAGAGGCGGCGGCGGTAGCGAGGCCGGGGAGCATGGAGGGCAAGCGAGGGAGAGAGAGCGGGGACGGCGCGGAGCGGCGGAAGGGGGAGGGGCGCGGGAAGCGCCGCATGGGGGGAAGCTGGGCGGGGTTGGCTCAGCAAGCATGAGGCTCCGCGGGGAGGGGGAACGCGGGGAGAAGGGGGGCCGGGAGGAACGCGGGGGGGCGGGAGGAGCTGGGGAAGGAGCAGGAGCAGGCGGAGGCGGAGCCACGAGTTTAGCTAAAAGTCTCTTTGGTCTGGGTTCTAAGAGCAAGAAGTTTGAGCACATGGTGGTGATGGTCCCCGGGGATCCCGCTGATCCTTGCGACAGCCCTCGGGGCAGCAGAAGCGCCAACAGCAGCGCTAAGAGGGCAGGCGCAGGGGGAGGCGGAGGGGGAAGCGCAGTGGGAGGGGGAGGGGGAGGCGCAGGGCCCGCGCCCAAGCTGGAGAAGAGCCGCAGCAGAGTTGAGCGAGGGGGAGGCGGAGGTGGGGGAAGGACTCCCCGCGGGGGCATGGAAGGAGGGGGCAGCTTGGGAGGTGGAGGGGGCGGGGGAGCGGGTGGGGGAGGGGGAGGGGGAGGGGGAGGGGGAAGGGGAGAAGCCGGACGGGCACAGCAGCATCATCATGCAGAGCCGTCCCCCCGGGGTGTAGGGCCGTCCCCACGACCGATGGAAAGAGGGGTGCTGCTTGGAGGAGTGGGGGCGAGGAGCTTCCGTGGAGGGGCAGGTGGAAAGAGCGGGGCTGGAGGGGGCGGAGGGGGGGGAGGGGGGGGAGGGGGCGGAGGGGGCGGAGGGGGTGGAAGGGGAGGAGGGGGGGTGTGGGCGGAGGAGGAGTGGGATGAGGCCCCGACTCTGGAACGGCACAAGAGCTTCACAGGGTCAACCGGGCGGATGGGTGGGATGGGGGGGGGGACTGGTGGAGCGCAGGGGGGCTTTGGGGAGTGGTCGGCTATGTCTGGTGAAACCAGCACGCCCCGTGGAATGGGCAGGCGGTCACACACGTCCTCCTCTGAACCTGCCGTGCTTGTGCCGGAGCTGCCCTCCAACAGACAGTGGCGGGCGGTGGGACGAGGAGGAGGAGCAGGGGAAGGGGGAGGGGGGGGAAGGGAGCCTGTGCATCAGCAGCATCAGCATCAGCATCAGCAGCAGGAGCAGCAGCAGCAGCAGCATCATCATCATCAGCAGCAGCAACAGTCGCAGTGGTTGCAGATGAAGGAGCAGCAGCGGGCGCAGGAGGAGCAGGTGCACCAGGAGTGGAAGGGGCAACAGAAGAAGGCCCAGGCGCAACGGATCCTGCAGAGGCTGAATTCCGAAAGGAAATCGGCAGGCTCTATGGGTGAGCGCGGGGAAGGGGAGGAATGGACAGGTGGCGACATGCAGGGGGGAGAAGGCAACCAGTTTCGCCAGCAGCAGCAGCAGCACCATCCGCAGCAGCAGCAGCAGCAGCAGCAGCAATACATGCAGCAGGGGCTGTACCAGCAGCAGGAGTATGGCCGGCCACCCCCAAGAGCTGCGCCTGGGCTTACCTCCCCTCCTCCTCTGTCACTGCAGCCGGGACGACCGCAGCACGCACAGCTGCAGATGCCTCCCGACCCCCCTGCCTTGTCGTACCAGGTGCACCCACAGCAGCAGCAGCAGCAGCAGCAGCAGCGAGTGGCTATGCTGTCAGGACCAGGTGCACGGTCATTTCGGGTGGGCAGCAGCACCACCACCATTGCTGCTGGTGACGCTGCCTCTATTGGTACAGCAGCTGGTGTGGTTTCGACAGGAGGCATGGGAGCACATAACATGCCCATGTCAGCAACGTATCCCAGGTCTCCCTCAGTCCAGGTGATTCCTCAGGTAAATTTCCAGGTGTCGTCACCAAGAGGGCCTTCCCCACGTGGCCCCTCCCCCCGCGGCCCGCTCCTGAACGGGCCTAACTCGCCCTGTATGCTCCCCTCTATCTCTCCACATAAACCTTCCCCTGGAAAACCCTCCTCTGGGGGTACAATGGGCGACATGGGGGGGAGGCAGCATGGTTGGGAATATGGTGGGGGGCGGGGAGGAGTGCAAGTGGCGGAAGAGGAGGAGGAGGCGGCGGAGGGGGATGAGGAGGAGGAAGGGGAGGAGGAGGAGGGGGGGAGTGGGAAGAAGGGGACGAGGTTGGGTGGTTGGGCGGTGCAGGCGTGGAGGGAGGAGAGGGGGAGGGGGAGTACAGCGAGACAGCAGCACTGGGGCTAGCGAAGGGGCATTCCATTCGGAGCAACGAGTCGGACGATGCCGTGGTTGCTGTGGCCCTGCCCATCCTCTCTCCCAGCTCTTTTACCGCTCCTCCCTCTGCTGCCCCTTATTCAGCGCAGTTCAGGCAAGGGGGTAAAGCAGGGGCGGGGGTAGGGAGGCGGGGAAGCATGGAAGGGCCTGGGGTGGTGCGCGAGGGGCATGAGCAGACGGCAGGAGTAGAGAAGGCGGTGGGGAGGGGTGGGGATGGGTTGGGGAGGAGAGGTGGGCAGAGGAGGGTGAGAGGGCCAGAAGAGGAGGGGGAAGAGTGGGGGGGAGATGGGTGGCAAGGAGAGGAGGGGTGGGAAGTAGGTGAAGAGTGGACGGGGAAGGCCCAACAGCAGCAGCAGCAGAAGAAGAAGGAGCAGCGTTGGCAGCATGAGCAGGTGGGACAGGAGCAGCAGCGAGGGCCGATGAAGTTGGAGGTGGGGGAGGAGATGGGCAGAGCGGCGAAGAAGAAGAAATTGAAGACGAAGAAGGGGAAAGCAGGAAAGAAGAAAGGAAAACATTCAGCCCCAGCAGCACAGGACGAGGAGGAGCAGGAGACGCACTTTGAGCCACCGCAGGAGCTTCAGCAGGTACCACAGGGGCAGCAGCAGGGGCAGCAGCAGGGGAAGCAGCAGGAGCAGCAGCAGGGGCAGGCGCAGGAGCAGGAGAAGAAGAAGCAGAAGCAGGAGGAGGATGAGCAGCAGCCGCAGGAGGCGGAGGAGGAGGAAGAGGAGGAAGAGCAGGAGGAGGACGCGGGTGCCTGGCAAGGAAATGAGAGAAAGCAATGGGTGCAAGGGGGTAGGGGAGAAGTGGATGGAGGCAGAAGCGGCGAGCACCTCGCTCTGAGCGAGCACGCAGAGACAGAGGTGGGGGAGGAGATGGGGCGGGAGGAAGGGGAGGAAGAGGAGGAAGAGGACGGTGAGGGGGTGGCGCAATACCATGGAGAGGCAGACGAAGGGAAGAAAGCAGGGGAGGAGGAAGCGGAGGAGGAAGCAGAGGAGGAAGCAGAGGAGGGTAATCTATATTGGGTGGACGGGGAAGGGGAGAAGCATTCTAGGTGGGAAAGGGTGGAGCAAGGGGAGGGAGGAGCAAAGGGGGGAAATGGAGAGAGAGACGAACAGAGAGGGAGAGAGGAGCAGGAAGGGGAAGGGGAGGAGGAAGAGGGAAAGGAAGAGGTGGAGGAGAAGGTGGGGGGGAATGTGAAACGTCAAGTGGCGAAGCAGGTGCTGGGGAGTGTGCTGAGGCGCGAGAGTGAGGAGCTGATGGACCGCGCATGGCAGGGGGTGGCGGAAGAGGGGGGGGAGGAGGGGAGGGAGGAGGGGAGGGACGAGGGGAGGGAGGAGAAAGAGAAGGAGGGGGAGGGGGAGTGGGGGGAGGGAAAAGAGAAGGTGGTAGGGGAGGAGGATGAGGGGAGTGCAGAAGTAGGTGCCAGGAAGGAAGGAGTCCTGGTTGTGGAGGGGGATGAGGGGGTGTGGGAAAGGGAAGAACATGGCGTGAGGTATGGAGAGAGGCACAGAGAGAGGTACGGAGAGAGGTATGGAGAGGAGAGGCTTGGGAGTAGCAAATGGAGAGGACCGGAGGAAGGGCATGGGACCGAAGGGCATGGGAACGGAGGCCATGGAGAGGTTCGATATGGTGATGGCGTTGGTGGTGACGATGGGGAGGAAGGTGCGATGCTTGAACGTAATGGGGAGGACGTGGTCGATGGAGATGATTATGATGGTAGTGATGGTGATCGTGATGGTGATGGTGAGGGTGTTGGTCGTCAGGATGGTGATGGTCACGATCGTGATCATGATCATGGTCACGATGATGATGGTGATGATGATGAAGCCTGGAGGCATGTGACAGGCCAAGAGTCGGAGGAGGAGGAGGATGATGGGATGGTGTCGAAGGTGAGGCACGGGGAGGGCAGTGCACGAGATGCAATGGCCCCTTACAGCCCTCATGCCCCCGCTGCTGCCCTAGCTACTGGTGATGCTCATGCTCATGCTGACTCCGACTCTCATGGTGATGGTGCTAGCGATGCAGGTCTGAGTGGATTCAGGCGCTATATGAACGAGGGAGAGGAAGTGGTTGAGGGTGAGTGTGAGGGTGCGGGTGGGGGTGGTGCTGATATCTCTAGAGGGAATGAGCACAGAGAGCGAGCATGGGAGGGCGCGGAGAATGGGGGTGGAGACTCAGTGGGGGGGAGGTGGCGGGATGAGGGGGAGGGGCAGGTGCAGGAAGAGGAGGGTGGGCAGGGAGCAGGGGAGGACAGCGAGGAGGAGAAAGGAGAGGAGGAGGAGGAGGGGGGGGAGGAGGAGGAGGGAGACGGGGAGGAGGGAACAGCACAAAAAGTGGGCGTGGAAGAGATGCGGATGGTGGAAGGGAGGCGCGAAGTGGATGAGGAGAGTGAATTGTGTGGGAGTGTGATAGTGCACAGCAGCGTGGACAGAATCCACAGCACAGCAGACAGCACAGGCAGTGGGGGCAGTGGGGAGGTGGTGAGCAGTCATCATCTACCTACTCTTGCTCTGCCTGTGCCTCCGTCGATGTCTGCCTCCTCGCCTAGGCTCCACTCCCGCCCCACCACCACCCAGTCCGCTTCCCCCCTTCAAGCCCTCTGGCTGCCATGGCATCGGTGAGTGGGCGCCAATGAGCGAGTGGGTGAATGAGAGTGAGAGTGACAGTGTGCGCGTTAAATTTTTAGGCGCCTCAAAAATAGACTCCATGGCATCAGTGAGTGGGCGTCAGTGAGCGGGTGGGTGAATGAGTGAGAGTGTGTGCGTTTGGTTGAGTGAACGAGGGAGTGAGAGGGTGAGTGTGTTGGTGGAGTGGGAGGTGTGTAAGATAGGGTGCAGCGAAGGGTAAGCTTGCGCGACCACACTGTGTGTCTGTCGTTCACCTGCCATGCACAGCATAACTTCTCCACCGCCTCTCCCCCTTTCTCTCCCCTTCCCCTGCCCTCCTCCCTTCTCCCCCCATCCCACAGCTTCCTATTGGACGTGGCAGGCATCGGTCTGCTCACAGTGCGCTGCTCCTCCTCTGCCTCCTCCACCGCCTCGCCTCGCATCGGTCGCTGCAACACTGCTCTCCTCCGCATGCTTGGATCGGCCGCCCCCCCGCCTCCCTCCCCGATTGCGCTTCTCTTCCCCCCAGCCAACCACCCTGCTGCTGCTGCTGCTGCTGCCGCAGCAGATACCTCAGCAGCAGAGGCGGAGCGTGGGTTGGTGCATCAGCTGGAGCAGGGCCTATCTTCCGAGTTTGAGGCCCTGCCATTGGTCACTCTGCTGCACCCACGGCACAGAGAGGACACCTGGCCAGCTCTCTCGGTAAAAGAGAGACTCGAATGTGCAAGCGAATGTGCACAGCAAGTGCATGCATGTGCCTGTGGGTGTTCTATGGCTGTATGTCAGTGGATATCAAGCAGTGCTTGACCATCAAGCAGTTCTCCTCTTGCTCGCCCCCCCTTCTTTCCCCTCTAAACCCTCATTGCCTTCCCCCCTCCTCATCTCAAACTCCTCCCTCCCTCCCACCCATCCCCATGGCACCCCAGGCACCTTTTGAGTAGACTCAAAAGTCTCCTCCCTCCCTCCCTCCCCATGGCATCCCAGGCGCTGATCCTCACAGTGGTGGACCTAAGCCGTGCCTCAGGCCAGCAGGAGCAAGCGCCAGTGGAGCAGGTGCTGGGCGAGCCACTGCTGGCCTCCCTGCAGCATGCGCACGGCCATGAGGTGCATGTGGCCATCTCGGCATTGCCTGGCCCGCCAGGGGTGGGGGAAGCGGAGGTGGCGGAGGGGAGTGATGATAGTAGTGATGGTGATGATGGGAGTGGCACTGATGCGGATCGGGAGACAGGGGTTGGTGGCCGTGTGGCGCATTGGAGACGAGATGGTGGTGCTTCTGGTGGTGGTGGCGGTGGAATAACTGTGGTTCTTGTGGTGCAGAACCTTCAACTTGCTGACATGATGTATTGATTTATGTGCTTTTATGTATAATCTACCATTTGCCCTTATTTATAGAGGATGTAAGTCTATGGACAAGGCTTCCCAAAAGCTTGTGGAGATTAAAGAAATTGGGGAGTGTTTTCCTTGTTCAATAAGCTTTGATTCCTCAACTTGGGTTTTTGCCCGCCTTAGTTTGGAACAAGCTCCTATCGCCTGTGGAGACCCAAACCCAGCCCAACCCATCCCTAGATCATATAATCGGCTTTCGTGCTTGGGCAACACTACAAACGCATTGCCAACACACCTTGCAGCTAAGTAGTGCAGCTTGCCTGTTTGGATCTAGTAACCCCTCGCGGCTGCGCTCCGCCAGTAGGAGCCGTTCGGCGCCCATCGCGGTGTGTGTGTGTGTGTGTGTGTGTGTGTGTGTGTGTGTGTATGTGTGTATGTGTGTGTTGCTTTCAGCCTTTACTCCCAGGAAGAGTTGGCGAGACCAGCGCGGTCCTGCTGTTCCGCTGCCTGGCCAGATTCTCTCCCGCTCCGCGTCAGTGCTGTGTCGCCCGTGGCTGTTGCGGCGTGTACGTGGCTGTCGAGGCGAGCGAAGAGCGAACGGCCCAGTGATCAGTGGGACTTGCCGACGACCTGAGCGACGTGATCGACGGCGTGAACGACGACTTGAACGACGTTACTGGCGACTTGAACGATTAGGACGACCCCATGGCCGAACTCGCGGCAGAGCTTCGACCATACGAGGAGCGCGCGACAAAAGCTGAGGTACACTGTCCGGCATTGCGCTTTCGAATCTTTTCGTGGGCTCGTTCTTTTTTTCTTCTTCGTTATGTGTGTGTAGTGGGAGGAAGGGGAAGGGCGGGTTTGGGGGGAAGGCGCTTGGGCTCTTCTGTTCTGGCTACTGCTCTCTTTCCTCTATCCCCCCTTCGTCAGGGCTCTATTCACTCGTCGCCGCTCCCTCCCTCCCTCCCCCACCCCCTGCCCCCCACTGTGCTCTGAGCCTCAGGAGCGGCTGGCGAAGCTAGAGGCGATGGTGGGGTCCCTAGGTGAGTGGCGAGGGTGGGGTGGAAGTGGTGGGTACCGTAGGTGGCTGGCTGGCTGGCTGGCTGAGCCCTCTCTCAAAAGGGCTTCGTTTCAATCGGGTCATCACTCCCCCCATGCATTTCTCGCTGGCTGCCTCGGCCACGCCATGGCATCAAACTTCCCAGGCACAAAAACCTGCTCCTTGCTTCGTTCCGTTCTCCATGCCTTCAATGCGCCTGTGTGTGTGTGTGTGTGCTGTGCCCCCACTCCCCTCGCCTCTGCACCTGCACCAGGCTCGTCGGCGCTTGTTAGTGCTGAGAAGGCGGCGCTGGCAGCGTCGCTGGAGGCAGTGAAGGCAGCACTGGTGGGGGCGAGGACGCACGTGCAGCAGGCCGTGCAGGACAGCACTCAGGTGAGGGGGGGACTGATGGGGTGATGGGGTGGTGGGGTGATGGGGTAATGGGTTGATGGAGTGATGGGCTGGTGGGCTCATGGGCTGCTGTATGTTCAAGCCCTTCCCCCTCGTTTCCACCCTCGAACCCCCGTCACTGCATTTCCTTTCATCTACCCCTTCCCCCCTCCTCCTCCCCCCTCCCCCCCCCCTTCCCCCCCGTCCCCCTCTTTCCCCCCCTTCTCTCTGCGTGCACCCATGGCAGGCGCAGTCGCAGGTGGCGCAGTTGAGTGAGGAGAATGCGCGGCTCAAGTACCGGGTGCTGCACCTCTCACGCGCGCTCAAAGAGGCCGACGCCAAGGCCGCTGCTGGCCCCGCCGCCTGATGCTTTAACGCCAGACTAGGCGGGTGCCACGAAGCAGCGCACGTGTAAAAGGCAAGCGTGCATGGTTGGTTTTGGCCTGGCATGACCTGGTGTGTCTGCCTCTTGGTCTCGGTTCGATGGTGTGTTCGGCTTGGCACAGGCCATACTGAAGGTATTACCGGTATGTTACAGTGTGGCAAGGTATGCCAGAAACGTCTTGTGCAGTATGAATCTATATTGAGAGTATATGCTTGAGTATGAGGATTGCAAGCATGTGTCACCAAAGGGTGTGTTCCTACACGAAGTTGGACCAGAGGGTCTGATCTGATCAGTGCTTGCAATACTTGCATTAGATGATGGAAACTGGTCGATTGAGAAAGCTTGCTTTCGTTGTAGCAATGGCAACGTGCTTCATTTCAAATGGGCGATAACAACATCCTAGTCCAGCACGTACATACTCTCAGAATAACCCAATGAACTAGAATGAGTGATACATGGTTTTGTCCGAAGGAGTTGTACTTGTCAAGTTATACATTTTATATACCATATAATTGTTTAGCCTTGGTAGGTTGATACATTACTAGATCTATCAGAATTGAAAATTGAATAATGGATAGAGTGGGAGTACACAAAGATATACCTAAGTGTTGTACTCTCTAAGAGGCGACCCTATACAGTCTATACAAACATGACAAATACACATGTTTGACACACCCCCTAGACTGCATAGGGGAATGCCCTAAACAAACAGCTCAGGGCGGCACTACTAGTCCAACCTCTGAGACAAGGGTCTAAGAGACCAGTCAGAAGGAGTACAAACAAGGCAAGAACAAGGGCAGGGCGGCACTACCAGGGCCCAAAATTGGTTTTAGGCCACTCTTTGAGATCAGAGTAGGAAAAAAAAAAAGCCCTGACGGTCAGAGCTAAAAAAATTCTAAGTCTGATTTGGCAGGGTAAAAAAATTCGAAGTCTTTGCTTCAAGTGTAGAACTCTTTGCACCCTTTCTAGCCTTGACCATTTAAGGAACATTTTACATGAATGAAGTGGGCTACACTGAGGTGTGGAAAGAAGGGTGTAGCGGATTTGCGCGTGCTGGGGGAGATTGGGGGATGGGATGGGACGGAAAACGATTCTGGGGCGCGAGAGGGGAATCAGATTTACATGGGCGGCAGTGGGGCGGGAAAAAAACCATCTGCTCGTGATTGGTTGGGTGTCAGAAGGGCGTATACGACGTGATGTGTCTTGCTGTGGTGTGGAGGACTTAGCGAAAAAAAAAAAGTAGCGGGGGTGTGGTTGGGAGGCATGTCTCTTGTGGGGGACTTAGCCATTTCTGGGTTGCGAGGGGGTGAGGGAGCTATGACTCTGGCTACGACTTAGCCGAAATTGCTGGCTTGCATGGTGCGTGGGGTGGGAGGAATGACTCTGGCTGCCAGGGACTTCGTCGAAATTTTTGGTTGCAGGGTGTTTTGGGGGAAATGTTTTTGGCCGCCAAGGACTTAGTCGGAATCTCGGAGTTTCGATACCAGGGTAGTTTTCAGGACGCCCTGAAGGGTCAGGGTTCGGGGGCCCGCAACCCTAGTTTCGGCAGGGTAATATTTTCGTAACACTTTTTGGATCAGGGTAATAAATTTCGTAAGTCTGATTTTTAAGACCAAATGAAAAAATGCCCTGAAAAATCAGGGCAATCAGGGCATTTTACCCGGCTAATTTGAGCCCTGGGCACTACTAGTCCAGCCACTGCGAGAGGACACAAGTCCAGTCTGAGTATACGTATAAAGGACAGTACAAAGTCAAGGTCCTAGCAAGTGAGAGGCTACAGGAACTAGACCAAGCTGTACACAGTGCCGCTGATGATCTTTAGGCGCAAGCGCCTTCGTAAAGATATCAGCCGTGTTGGCACCTGAGGCCAAGTGTACTACGCGAGCCTGACGTCGCTGCTGTAGCTCACGCAGGAGGAAGTACCGCAGCTGAATGTGCTTCGCTCTGCCCTCGAGTCGAGGCTCCTGACACAGGAGGATCATGGCCCTGTTGTCAGCGAACAAGACCGGGGCAGAGCTAGGCCGCTCACCTAAGTCAGTGAGCAAGAAGGTCAGCCAGCGGAGCTCCTGTGCCGCCATGGCACCTGCGTAGATCTCGGCCTCACAGCTGGACTGCGCTACAGACGAGGAGCGGGTAGCTCTCCACGAGACGGCAGCTGAGCCAAGGCTGAAGCAGTAGCCCTGGGTAGACCTGAGCGTCTCAGCGTCGTCTGCCCACGAAGCGTCTGTGTGTCCAGTAAGGACCACTGGCCTGCGTCCTCCTAGCACTAACCCCATGCCCGATGTACTAGCAAGATAACGCAGAACCCTCTTAGCGGCAGACCAGTGCTGCGGTCGGTGTCTGCCTGTGGCCACAAAGCGAGCCAGGATGCTGAGAGGGTATGCGAGATCTGGGCGAGTGCAAGTCATCAGGTACATGAGGCAACCCACCAGCTCTGCGTAGGGACCATTGGGCTCTACCAACTCCTCAGACACTGGAGCGGAGAGTCTGTGGTCTACAGGCAGAGGGGTGGGCTGTGCAGAGGAGAACTGAAGGCTGAACCTCTGAAGGACCTGGCGCACCGAGTGTGACTGAGTCAGGGTGATGGTGCGCGCAGCTCTGTCCCTGGAGATCTGCAAGCCAAGGTAGCGGCGCAGTTCTCCAAGGTCAGTGCACGTGTGTCTCTTCAGAAGCTCTGCCTTCACGGAGGCCAGTGCGTCCCTGTCTGCTGTGGCAAAGACCAGGTTGTCGACGTAAACAAGGATGTAGAACGGAGTCTGGCCAGCACGAACGAAGAGTGAAGGGTCTGCGGAAGACGGAAAGAACTGCAGGTCAGCAAGCGTAGCACGAAGAGTGTCGTGCCACTCACGAGGAGCCTGGCGCAGGCCGTAGACGGGGCGCCGCAGGAGCCACTGGGTACCAGGAGGGAAGGTGCCAGTAAAGCCCGGAGGGCGACGCAGGTAGACCTGCTCGTGTAGGCTGCCCTGAAGGAAGGCAGTGGAGAAGTCGAGGGAGTGAAGCTCGTAGTCACGCTGGGCCGCTAGGTGTAACAGAACCCGAAGAGTAGTCATCTTCGGGGTCGGAGCGAAGGTCTGGAAGAAGTCCACCCCCTCGCGCCGACTGAAGCCTCTAGCCACATAGCGCGCCTTGAAGACCGGCGGCTCTCCAGGAGGGCGCTTCACCTTGAAGAGCCAGCGGCCATCGACTACGTTCACCCCAGGTGGGGGAACTGCGTCGACGAAGGTGCCGGTGGATCTCCAAGATGCCATCTCCTGCTCCATGGCAGCTATCCACTGTGAGGCCCAGGGTCCCGAGGTCGCCTCAGCGTAAGTGCGAGGGGTCGGGATGTCGAAAGCGTCTGGGTCACCCTCAGGGACTAGCAGCATGGAACAGAGATGGGGAGCAGCCTCGGACAGGAAAGCAAGCTCGTACTGGCGGTCCTCCAGGACGTCACTGCCAAGGGCAGAAGCACCCCCGACAGACGGAGGACAGGCAGGGTCAGAGACCAGAGCGGTGGCGTAGTCAAGGCGGCGGGTAGAGGCGAAGTCAGCGACAGCAGCGACAAGAGTGTCAAGGCACGGGACCGGAACAGACGGGTCGGTAACGAGAGAGGCAAGGACCCGAGAAACAAGAGGACGAGCGGCACGAAGGTAGTCAGACAGCGGGGGGGGTGCAACAACAAGGGAGGACGGAGGAGGCGACGGCAGAAGGGGAGGGCGAGACGCGTGGAAACGAAGCAACATAGGGTGGGAGCGCAAGACAGGCGAGGCAGGACGAGCACGGGAGGGGCGGTGAGACCAGACGTGCGACGGAGGAGTCGGGTCAGGAGACAGGGGAGGGGACAAAGGAGGGGAACGAGGGGGGAGACGAGCCGGGGACGAGTCCGGCGGAGGAAAAACAGGGCCGTAGACAGGAAGAGGAGGAGATGGTGGGGGAGGAACCGACGCAGGGTCGGGGAACGGAAGGCCGAGCAGGCGAAGGGCGGACACCGGCGAGGACTGCTGCTGCGGCAGCACAACGGCGACACCTGGACCGCAAGCTGCTCCTCGGCTACCACCAGCACTCTCCACACCCGCACCCCCAGAGGGACCACCCCCAGGGCGACCGGGACGTGCACCCCCAGAGTCAGCGAACGGGTGCTGCGACGGCAGCGGCGGCGGTGGCGGCGGCGGCGGCGGCGGCGGCAGCGACAACGACGGCTGCAGCCACGGCAGAGGCGGTGGAGGAGGGGACTGGGAAGGGGACGCCAGGGGAGGGGCGGCCGGCGAGGACTGCACAGGAGGGCCACCAGAGTCAGAAGACTCCCCAGCCGGGTCCACCGACGGAAGGGGGGTGACGTGGGGCACACCAGAGGGGGCGGGACGGGGAGGAGGAGGAGGAGGGGCAGGGACTACCGGGGAAGGAGTGACCAGGAACAGGGGGGGGGTAACCGGGGGACCACGGTGGGGGAAGCGACGGTAGTAGGAGACGGACTCGTCAAAGGTGACGTCACGAGAGTGAAAGAAGCGGTGAGACGGCGGGTGGTAAAAGTGCCAGTCGGACGCGTCAAGGGGAAAACCGAGGAAGACGCAGGGAAGGGTGCGGGCAGTGAGCTTGTCCGTGCCGGAGGCACGGACGTGAGCAAGGCAGCCCAGACGTGGAACGCAGACGCGTCACCAGGAGACCCAGTCCAAAGACGGGTCGGCGAAACCTGCGACTGCTGAGGGTGCGGCCACAAGTTAAGCTGGTGAGAAGCGTAGCGCACAGCGAACGGCCACAGAAAATGGGGTGCACCGGCATGGATCATGGAGGTGCGAGCCACCTCCATGACCAAACCGATGCGTCGCTCAGCGATCCCATTCTGCTGTGGGGAGTCCGGTAGGGTGAACGTCTGGGTGATGCCCTCCGCACGACAGAAGCGACCAAGGACACCTGAGGCAAACTCGCCACCACGGTCTGAGTGAAGACGCAGGACAGGGAGACTGCGGTGGACACGCGCAGAGACAAGCCAGGGGATGAGAGCGCCAGGCACGTCGGCCTTGCGCTCTAGGGGAAAGACTGTGGTGTAACGAGTGAAGTCGTCGACGAGCACAAGGAAGTAGCGCTCTCGACGCGGCCCAGGGACGGGGGCGGGGCCCCAGACGTCCAGGTGCAGGGTCTGCAGCGGCGCAGAGGTAGGGGGAAACGAGGAGGAGTGAGGGGCACGGCGAAGCCGACCCTCTACACAAGGCGTGCAAGGGAGGGCTGGGGAGGAGGGAAACGCGGGGAGAGAACCTGGGAGACCAAGGACAAGACCGTGCTGGGACATGTGACGCAGACGCGGGAGCGCAGGGTGACCTAGGCGGTGGTGCCACAGGAGCGTCGGGTGAGTGAGGGACCGACAGGAGCAGGCAGCAGCAACCTGAGTAGACGCAGCCACCTGAGGGAGCGCCCCAGCCGGGGGGGTCACGGTGTCCAGAGTGAACAGGCCAGACACTGGGTCCCGGG